GGGCGCGCTTCTCCTCGCTGTTGTCGCTGAGCCGGTGGAGTTTTTAGAAGAGCCCGACAATCTGCTATATATATGACTTTAAACTAAAAGAGGGTGGGTTTAGATTGGATATAAGGAAGAAACTCCTCACTGTGAGGGTGGTGAGACGCTGGCACAGGTTGCCCAGAGAAGCTGTGGCTGTCCCCTCCCTGGAAGTGTTCAAGACCAGGTTGGATGGGGCTTTGAGCACCCTGGTCTAGAGGAAGGTGTCCCTGCCCATGGCAGGGGGATTGGAACTAGTGATCTGTAAGGTTCCTGCCAACCCCACCCATTCTATAATATTTTATATATGTAAGGAAGAGACCAATCTTAAACTCTTTACAGTCCAAAAAAGTGGGGTTTGTTTGCGTTTCTTTAATAGCATTTGAACACTCATTGTAAATTTTCTATAGCACAGCTTTTCCCCATTCGTGTTTGCAAGCTGATTTGGACCGTGCTTAGTCGTTGAGTAAACGGGAATTAAAACAAGCATCATAGAGAATGTTTATGCTTTCAAGGTGGTCTGATTTTTATTCTCCTCTGTTCCTGAAGGAAGGAAGGAAGGAAGCATTATTCCTTAACGATTTACTTTGTCAAAGTTTCATTTTCAGTTAGTCATATGACTCAATTTTGATGTTTTTTTTAGAATATTCCTGAAGAAAGCTTGTATGTGAAATGTAATGGACGGCTGGTTAATGATGAAGACATTTTGCAGAATGGAGCCGTTTATAGTCTGGAGCCAAGACTTTGTGGTGGAAAAGGAGGTTTGTTTCTTAACTGCTTTTTATCGATTAGATTCTTAGGTTAAAAAATTTTTGTTATACCTTAGTCTATACTGACAGCCGCAGCCCTAATCTATTAGCACATCTCTTGTAATGTGGATGACTGATATCATATCTCTGAGCTGAAACCAAAGTCTACCTGCAAAGCTGAGAATTGACCAGGGAAGCTGCAGTTCAGCTGACAGCTTTGGTGGCATAGCTCTTCTTTGCTTCCCTAATCAGCTTAGCTCTGCTAGTAGATATCTGTAATATGCATCAAAGTGACTTCAGAGTTGAAATTGTGTTTAAAAGCACCTGGCTTCTTAGGCTCCTAAGTGTCATTCATGATCACTTAGGACAAATATTCCAGGTTCAAATAGTCAGTGATTTGAGTATGTTATATGACTTAATTGATTTTGTCTTCTCTAGTTTGATAAGACATAAATGCCAAGATCTGTAGTGGCCTAAGAACTAAAGAATTCAATCTAAGCTAGACACCTTGTGTTGACAATATATTTTCACTGTATTACGGAAGATTTATATTAATCATATAAACTGATACAGCCACTGACAATGTGGGCATTCCCTAAAATGGAACATAATGGGTGAAGCGAGTTTAGCGGAGTATTTGAGTGTAATTGGAGTCGCTATGTTTGCTTTTTGAATCCACTTCTCAGGATTTTCTAGCTGCTGAGCTAAAATGGTGAAAAATTGTGCAGCCTTGCATCAGACTGCAGCTCAGCTTACTTTGCCACCTTCTGTTTTAGACAGAACTGGAAATAAATATGGTTGCTATAGGTTATGAGGTTTTGTGGTTTCTTGAAGTGCCCTAAACGTGGTGCATGTGGTGTAAGTTCATAGTATAGGCTGCTTCTTCCTCACCTTTTGTCCGTCAGCTTCAGTTATCCTGGAATGACACAAGATAAGCATTCTGTGATTCACTCTGTTACTGATGCGCCCTTGAGGTCAGTTTAATATTGTTCTGTAATGATTTTGTCTGCTTTCTGAAGTGTTGCTTTTGTTTTGACTTTATAACTTAAAAGCGTGGTAAAAACAGGCAAACAAACAGAGGTCAGAACCTTTGAAATTTAACTGCGTGATCTCAAGGGAATGCAGATCATCCAGGCTTAGTAAAGAGCTGAGGATTTTATTATCAGACCTAATTCAGCACCTGCGACCTTAGTGAATGCATTACTGTTGATTTTTGGGAGCATGCCTGGCGAGGTGTAGCATCTAGGTCTGCATTCTTCAGAATTCAGTAGCGTATTTCATAAGCTACAGAAATTCTCACCAATGGCAGCAATTGGTTTTATTAGCTGAACGCAACACTTTTTCTGCCTCATGATACAGTAGGCTGTCTTGATTGGCTACTGTTTGATCCTCAAAGGTGCTTTTGGGGCACTGAAAAGTAACCATTTGTTTAGCTTTTAGTTAAAAAATAGTGCTTGCCACTTTCAAATTGCTTGAAGAGTTATATTAATATTAATACACATTGTGTTTCTTTGAGGTAGTTTAACAAGTGTCTTTCTCCAGCTGGAGAAAACACAAAGTGGGACCAAGTGAGAGAAAGTAGCAGTCTTGCGTATGAGTGATGAGTGGCTGAGGAGTGTGTAGAGATCTGTTTTGGGGGAGCTCTCCAGCGTAACATTGTACGTTACGATCATCTTGATGAAGTGGCTAAGGCTGTCTCCTAAAAAAGATGTTTTATTTTTCGTTAGATTTTTAAAAGGGGATTTAAGATTCATGGGGGCTAGAGGGGCTTAAGAGGAGGTATGTCCTGGCTAAATTAGAAAGGACCCAAAATGTTATTTTGAGACAAAAAAGGTTTCAAACCATTTTGCTCGGGGAGTCCAAAAACAGGCTTTCATGTTAGAAGTGGTATGCAGGTTCTAGCAAATGTGGAGTCCATATGGTATGATATCAGGAGCACAAAAATGAGATGAGTGGTAAATGCTGGATACCTTTTTTTCATTTAGCGTTGCAGAATTTCACCAATGACAACTCTCTAACATGTTGCAACTTTCAGCTTGCCATTTATTTCACATGCATTGAGGGAGAGAAAGGTGTTGAATTCACTGTATTCTTTTTCCATAATTAATTCTTTTGTTGTGTACTAGCTCATCTCCATTTGTTTCTGTTTAGCTAATTCATAATGACTTTTTTCTCAGGGTTTGGATCTATGCTGCGAGCACTTGGTGCTCAGATTGAAAAGACAACAAACAGAGAGGCTTGCCGAGATCTCAGTGGAAGGAGACTTCGAGATGTCAATCATGAGAGAGCGTAAGGCATTTTCTTAGAAGCTGGAATTGTAAAATAAACTGACTACATAATTCCCTGCTAACGAGAGAGGTCAAATGGCAGGCTTTTGTAGCAATGAAACTTAATTTTGAATACTAAAAAGAGCGAAAGTGAAATCCTAAGCACAGATTGGAAGCCAACAGGATTCTGACTATAATTATATTACTGCAACATAGATTGTACTACAGCCTGCTTCTGAGAGCCTGTTCTGCACCTCTTAGATTTCTCGTATGGAATTCTCACAGTTCTCTCTGAAGCTGCAAGACCATGATATTGGGGATATGTGACCTTACTGCTGCTTCCAAAATAAGCTTTCTTCTCTGTAGCAGAATCTCTATACATTCCTTGAGTAATTCCCTTAAGTGTTGTTAGTCGTCTTTTGCCATTGTCTTCCATCCTAGCAGGTGGTAGAAGCATTCAGTAATTGCAAAGCAACAAACTGATATTACATTAAATGCTGGAAACAGTCTCATTTTTTATGGTTCTGTCACCTGCAGGATGGCTGAATGGGTGAAGCAGCAAGCAGAACGGGAAGCAGAAAAGCAGCAAAGGCGCTTGGAAAGGCTGCAGCGGAAACTTGCGGAGCCAAAGCACTTTTTCGTAAATCCAGAGTACCAGCAGCAGTGTCATGAAATGGCTGAGCGACTAGAAGATTCAGTCCTTAAAGGTATTGCAGTTTAACCGCGCTTTCTCTCCTCAAAAAATAAAGCAAACTAAAAGCCCTAGAGCCTTGATCCAGTATGAAAATGTAAAAATAGAATAAAATTTGAAAAAAAACCCCACCCCACCTCAAAACCAACTTGCTGTCAATAACTCTTTCAACTGAATGAAATTTTAAATTCCAGTAAAATTTGTTGGAATTCATTTTTCCTTGTTTGGCTACTGCTTCTCTTCAGTTGCGTTGAACAATTAACATGGATGCTTCACATAGATGCTTTATCTTGCTGCGCTACAGTGTCATTTCGTAATAAAAGCAAAATTCCTTGAAGGTACTGTTGCTAGTTCAGCTGTAAGAATTACATAATCATTTTCAGTGAAAAGATAATGTATAAACAGGTCTTAAGTAAAAAGCAGAAATTTAATCCAGCTACAAAATACCTTGTTTCACTTACTGTTCTTTGTAGTTATTTTATTTATTCATGGATTGTTTTCTTCCTGGCAGCTTGACAGTAAAACTCGAGGGTGAATGGGATGTAGAACCTGAGAATTCAGTTCAGGAATCCATTTTTAATTGACTCTGTGCATTAGTAAAGCAGTATGGAAAGCTTTTGCTGCTGCTAAGTTTATTTTGAAGCTTGGAGTCCATGTAAAAGTGCACGAATAGTGATTGTTTTCAGTTGGTGTTTTAAGTTGCATCTGAAATATAAAGATAAGTAGAATTTACAACGTACATGAGTTGTGTACTGATGATGTAGACTGTTAACTTTGTTTTGAAGGATTGCAGGCCACTTCAAGCAAAATGGTGTCACCAGAGAGTGGCAATAGTCGGAAGCGTCCAGGTGAATCTGGAAAGAATGGAACAAAATCTCGAAAAAGAAAATGTTTTTGGTAAGCATTATGACTGTCTTTGTACTTAATACTCAAGTATTAAGCCTTGAACAGGATGACAGGTTAGGTACATACAAGTAAGCAATATCTTATCTGAAATGTAGACTTAAATAGTAAAATTAAATTGAATTGATTAAATCAGAGAACTGAAAGTAAATGTTGCTGTGTTCATATCATTTTGTCCCAGCTGGAGCAAACAAACTTTTTTCCTTCCTTCTGATATGGTTATATTCTGCTACCTCCTATTGTCCTTTTCTTCATTAATGAAATAAACTTAATAAGTTTAAAAAAAAAAAAAGACATCCTGGCATTTTTCACCTAATATAATATAAATGAGAAGCCTTAATGATTCCAGAGGTGTTTGGAGTAGCAATAGGTAGCACACATTTCTGTATTGGGAATGCTGTAAAGAGATACTTGTTTTGGAGGGATTTTGAGTCCTGTTCAATATTGGCAGCTCCTCCATTTACTAAACTATACTAAATAGCTGCTAGAGCAGTTCACTGTAGCTCTCTGAAGTGAGTTTTGGAAAGAGAAGTGTGATAATGAAAAGAAGTGAAAATAGATGAATATTTATTTGTAATGTACTGCTTATGCCAGGCTGGGATTGGAAGGATTGGATGATCGCGACAGTTCGGATTGTGAGGATGACAGTGAAGATAACTCCCCTCATGCATCTGGCGGAAGTTGTCCCCCAAGCAGCAGATGTAATGAAAGCGCTGGGAACTCGAATGAATGTTCAAGCAGCTCTCTGGATTCGGTAGGGGATAGTCCAGCTACCAGTGCAACTGAGAAACCAGTGGAGCAGCCAGAAGGTACTGGAAGAGATCTGCAAGCAGAGGCACACGCAGGTGGGCAAGCTGAAATTCCAGCTGAAGAAAACAGCAAAATGACAAAGCCCTTGAAGGAAGAGGCTCAAGAAAAGAATGAGGTAACCCAACCTCTGAAGGAAGAGGAGCAAGAAAATGTTTCTTCTAAGGCACAGGAAACGAACCAGTTACAGAGCACAGTAAGTAAGAAGCAGTACAAAATGTGGTACACCGTCTTCTTCAGCTGCTTTTACTCAAATCACTTTTCCCTTTGCGGCTCACAGAAGAAGGGAGGGATTTGTATCGTATGACTTCAATGCATTAGATGTGCGTGCTTGAATTAGAATCGCAGTCTCCCTAAGAAGCTAATAGAATCTTCAGGGTTTGATTCAGAGCACAAAAAATCCCAAGGTTAAAAGGAGAAACAGCTTAACTTAAGATGCATGATACGGCTTGTGAAAATGGAATGTTAGCAAGTTAACAAACTGCAGCCAAAGGCGGCTTGTGGTTGACAGTGTCTCCATGGAGAGAGTTGAACTGTAGTATGGTAGCATCATCTTGAGCGATGCTAAGTAGAGTGGGTCAAGGAAGAACTGTAGAAGATTAAGATTTTAATAGTCTGCAGTTTCTACTAAGATGCACTTGCCCTTGGCTGTCTAGTATTGTCTTTCCCGAGATCCTTGTTTCTCTTTGTTTTTTTTTTTGTTGTGTTTTTTTTTCTTTTTTTCACCTAACTAATATTTGGAAATAAAAGGTGCCAATACTTGTGCTTGATTGCTCCTTGCATAATATTGCTATTAAAAATTTTTAGGAGTAATGAATCTAGGCTTATTCTAGCAATAAACCAAAATGTGGCACTTTTCTTTGGGCTAGGGAGTTGCTTGGATTTTCTACCCTTTTTCAACTTGAGCAGAAAGTATACCATCAGCTGCCACTGCCGATGACTGAATTCTGATAAGTAAAAGTTTAATAGACTTAAATGGAAAGAAGACCAAGGATGTAATCTGATAAATTGGAACTTTGTCATCTACTGTACTGTTAGAGCTGGCAAATTTTAAACAGGATGTTTACCATTCTTCACTGTTTACCTTTTGCTTATTATTTGCGAGACTCTATTCCTAGAACAGGAAACTCCACCAATGCTGTGGAATATTGTTATTGCAGGTGGAAATATTTTTATAGTGGTCCTTGATGGATTTTTTTTTTTTTTAAAGTAGGATGAGAATAATGAGGCAACCAGTCTTTTTTTGTATGTTTAGCAGGGCAAAGGTTCTAATTCTGCTAGCGTTAATTGTTTTTTGCTGAGTTCATAATGGAGCGGTCTCATTCCCACTGCTGGTGTTACTTGCTCTGAAGTCTCTGTGATAACTCCGTAAGACTATTATGTGCATTAAGCATTGAATGAAATGGGCTTAGATTTTTGTGTCCTGCTTAGTGTTAGTTGTTAGTGTGTTAGTAAACTCCAACATTTGAATTATCCAATCTCTGCCATGTTCTTTTGTGGACAAGACCCGGGGCTTGGACTAGACAATCTACAGAGGTCCCCTTCACCCTCGATTATTCTGCAAATAAACAAATTTCCTTTTAAGATGACATTTTAATCCATTTTCTTGTGGTAGGATGAGATGTGAACTTCAGAACTTGCTCTTTTGTTAATCTTACTAAAAAGAGGGATGCTTTTGTATTTATTTCTATAATTACAGTGTAACTGCATTAGGAATAACTCTTCATCTTCCTTCCTGCTACTGCTGGGGGCATACTGGTTATATTCTACATCTGGCTAAAAAGGGGCTGTTAGCTTTGCCATGCCTCTAGAAGCCAAGGTTAAGCTACTGAACTGCTAGGTGAGATGGCGGGCTGTTGTTTTTAATTCCGTTTTCTTGGGAGTACTTAACTTCCCTGGGGATAAAAACAGTGTCAACTGTTTTGTCTCCAGAAGAATAGGATGAAGTACTGCCACTTACTTTTTTGCTTTTTTGGCGTTCCTGTATTGCAAGTAGAATGTGTTAATTCTAGTGGAATAATTTTAAAAGCTCAGTAGTGTTTGTCATTTAAAATGACCAGAGCTTCTGTCTTGGAGGCTGTGTACATTGCAAGCCTAAGCACATCTGCAGCTTGTCTGGACATGTTAGAGCGAGCCTTTAACTAGCTAGCAGAGGCACTGCGAGGAGTAGAATTGTAGCAGCACAGTTGGATGCCAAGTACAAAGCTCACCTGAGCATTTGCCCCACTCTTGGGTGTGTTATCTCTGCTAAGATTTGCGTGTTTTACGACGAGGCTGCTCGCTAGCTTCAGTTTGCACATGATGAAGTAATACTTTGCCTGCGTAGCATAAGTACCGCTAACAGTGAGAATATCCAGCATAATACATATGGAGGCACTGCTCAACTTTATTAAGTAATTAGGAGTTTGAGATAATCCTAATTGAAATTTCTTCTTTAAAACGAAACGTTCTGTCTAGATGTGTTCCTCCACCCCAATAAGGAAGAAAATAGAAATAGTCTGATGGGATGTTTTTTTCTTTACAGGAGGTGGAACCAATAGACCTACTGGCATTCAACTCTGCTGCTGAAATGGAAGCCTTGGGATTGGATAAACTGAAGATGCAACTGATGTCTTTAGGATTGAAATGTGGAGGCACTTTGAAGGAAAGAGCAGCAAGGCTTTTTTCAGTGAGAGGTCTGTCTAGAGACCAGATCGATCCTGCCTTGTTTGCAAAGCCCTCTAAAGGGAAAAAAAAGTAATTTAAAAAAAAAATCATTTTGTATCCACGTGCTTTTAAATTTTTCTTATTCTGTTGTCATTCTGTACTGCCACATACAGTTCTTTGGTATCCCTGGATAGCTTTTGTTTCTGTTCTTAATGAAGTTCAATTGACGTGATGGAGTAAGTTGCTGGATAGCGAGTTAGTTATGTGTCCAATATGTTCAATATTAAAGGAGCGAAACTACTATCTTTTGACAAGCTTGACAAATGGTTGTAACAAGTCTTAATGCAACAGGTAGAACAAACTTTCTGTATGTGGAAAGAAATAACCTGAATGTTTTCTGGAAAATGGTTGTATGACACTGTCATCACCTGTTTTTAAGAAAAACGGCAATCCTTTCTTAGCTTTATATTGAATCTCTTTTAATGTGTATTCCAGTTAGGACAGTTACAACTGTCAAATGAGAAGCATTGAACTTATGATCCAGGCTTAAAAGCTGAAGTTTCTTTAAATAAAGAGAACATTTTTATATGGATGAGGTCAGTATAAATAAATACGCTGTTCTGTGAGTTTCTGTGGGATGTTAGGTATCAGTATGATACAAATTACTAATGCGTGTAAGTATTTCTTTTAGAACTTAAATAGGGGTATTTATTTATTTTGCTCTGGAAAAGTATCCGAGTGAGGAAAAAGAGATCCTTAAGAAATTAAAAAGAATAAAGGACGCTTGCTGGCTGCTGAAGCTTAGTAAGATACAGAGTGATCATCTGAAGCTGAGTGGGAAATTATGATGTGTCTTTTAAATCTTTTCCTACGGTAAAAAGAATGGAATCGTCTCCCAAGGACTTAAATTATCTGCCATGGTGGTGCTTTACCCTAGAGCAGTATCTGCCATCTTGGTGCTGGGAGTTACCCTGTGAGGTGGTAAGGGCCCCTTGCTGGCAGGGCAGCATGCTCGCGTGGCTGCGGGTGCAGTTGCCACTTCTCTCGTTTGAGAGACTTCAGTGTTTAGTTCAGTGTCTGACATTTCAGATTTTACCACCATATGCTGGAGTATCTTATACTTACGATCTGCTTATCAGATTTTCTTGTAGACGCTTGAAACATAAAAAATGATCTCTCTCCTGTTCTGACATACAAACGGGTGTGTTTATCTGTTTTAAAGCTTGGCTCATAAAGTTTACTGGTAGGAAGTAGGCTTCAAATGCTAGGAAGTCAGTTCACTTGTGTAGTATTTAGTGTTTCTGACACGAGCAGTTTGTATCTGATACTTCAGTCAGTTTTGCAATCTTACGACCTCTCTCCTCAGAAGCCATTTCGTTTATGCTTGGGGGTTTTGGGTTGAAAGAGGGTGTTAAAGCGGAAGGATTTATTCTTGACAAACTCTTAGAGACAAGCTGTTAAATCAGTCCTGTTGGTGCAGCTGCTCCAGAATGCTGGGTAACCTGACAGTTTATCCTTCCCTCACCGATGCGACCTTCCTGGGCAGCCTTTGTTAGGAAATGACGTGGAAGGCTCACTGCCCTGCGCGTTGTGTGCGTGTCCCCCGGTGCGGGGGCTGTGGGAACCCCATGCTGGCAGGTGTTGCTTGGCAGCCAGCCGGGAGGCAGTTTTCTGGCTCTTTTGCGTAGGTCCTGGTTTGTACGAGATGGGGCTTGGCCCTGCTGAGGACAGGGGCGGCAATTGGGAAGTGTGGAATTGATTTCTAATGCAGCAGCTGATGTCCAGGCAAGTCAAAACCCCTCCACATGCTATAGTTTGTCTACCCACAAGACGGATTTGAGACTACTTGCCTATTTGCAAGTATATTTGATGTAGTTAAGTAAAAGTCCTTGGTATCCTCAACTTCTAAATTCACATCCACACGATAAATTTCATTAGCATCCCAAGGAGCTACGAAGAGGATGGGCAGGTGTTCGCAGTGGTGGTGACTATACCGTTACACACAAGCCCAGCATTTGTGGATCTGTTTGACACAGTATTCCGAAAACATAAATCGTGGCACTTGAGAGCTAAATTGTTAAAGCACTTTTAAACTGTTCTCTGTTTAGATATGTGTGGGATCCAAAAGTAATGAACTTAGCATTTTGCAGCTCATCATTAGTATAATCTGGTTTATATGATGAGCAGTGACTTAAATGCAGGATATAGTAGGTAAGATGTTTGATGGCAGTACAGCACTTGACATGTCTGACATTTTAATCTATAAGTGAGTCTTAGAAAGTTGTGGGTTTTTTTTAAAAAAAAAAGGCGGGGGGGAGTAGAGAGACATTAAGACTCTGCAAATCACGTCTCGTGGGTTGTGACAGGACAAATGACCCTGGGTAGAAAACAAATGGTTTTGTTTACTGAATATGTTTCATTAGGAAACTGGAATGGAGGGTACCTGTGAGGTCACCTCAACATAATGAAGTTTTGGTGGTGTAAGTGTCTCTGCTGGGAATGTTGCGCAGCAGCAGCAGTCCCACTTGGGTGGCAAGCCTTCGCTGTGCTTACTGCTGCTCTTGTAAAGGCATGTCCGTCGTTTGGGTCAGGAGAGCCTTCGGCTGCATGAGCACACTCCAGCTCCGCTGTAGTACGGCAAGGAGAGTGTGGCCAAGAGAGGACAGGCCAGTTTAATGATGTGTTTTGGCAACAACTCTTGCCTAAGTCATTTCCCCTCGCTGTAATTGCACTCTTGCTTCAGTTGCACTGACGCAGTCATTTCTAAGGCTACCACATGCGTCACCTATTTCCCTTTTTTTTGTTGTTATGGATTCCTTGTTAAACCAGATCGGTTCCCTGGTTGGGCCATGTGATGTGACTCTTAACAAATTTGTGCCGGCACAACGGAAGCAGCATTACATAGGGTAGGAAATAAACACTGGCTGGTGAAGGGGAACTGGAATATTCTAAGCCGGCAGTAGTGCCAAACACTTTATTGATAAACTGGGTCTTCAGTAGAGCCAGAATTAAAAGAAATACCCTGCATCTGTGTTAGAGGACAGCAGCTTGTGTGTACCTTGAACCAGCTCCACTCTTAGGCACATTTATTTGGGAACTGCTTAGCTCCTGCTGAGCTAAGGAGGAACAAGTGCTTCCTCTGGGATATGTCCACCTAAAGGGTTAGCCTAGAGCGGTGTGGTGTCTCATGGTAAGGCTAGACTTCCATGTGTCCAGAGGGCGTCCTTCAGAAAATAGCTGGATAACAAACAGGACTCGGACTGACCCTTCAACAGAACGGAAACAAGCCGGTGAAGTGCTTGAAGCTTTCTTAAGAATTTGGGCAAGAAAAGTCAACAAATACCAGTAAAAAAAAGGAATATGAACTATATGAACTGAACCTATTCTAACGTTGTATGGGCTATTTCCATAGGACAGAATGGCCTCAGAATAGAGGTGATCTTCATATACTAGGGCCAGAGGATAATGCAGAGTTTGCAGTACGCCTGCCTGTATCTTTCGTTGTCCAAGGATTAATGCAGTTTTGGATTTCAGAAGTGTTTCTGGCTGTAAATACACCAAAACTGTGAATACCTTTCCAGAGATAAGGTTCATGTTCCCACGCAAACACTTCCCCAACAAGCGAGTGGTGTGTCTTACAGAATTCTTCTGAAGTGTCATTTAAAATGCATTTATTTCAAACATCTAGAAGATCTAGAGCACTGCCACGTGTTTCTCTTGCATTTCAGAGTTATTGGTTGAAAACATTAATTAGCAAAATCACTGGCACAAACCTGAGGGAGGGCTTTTCCTCACCTCATACAAATCCATCTATCATGGAATCACAGAACAGTTGGGGTTGGAAGGCACCTCTAAAGGTCATCTAGTCCAGCCTCCCTGCAGTGAGCAGGGACATCTTCAACCACATCAGGTTGCTCAGAGCCCCATCCAACCTGACCTGGAATGTTTCCAGGCATGGGGCCTCTCCCACTTCTCTGGGCAACCTGTGCCAGTGCTTCACCACCCTCATTGTAAAAAATTTCTTCCTTATGACCAGTCTAAATCTACCCTCTTTTAGTTTAAAACCGTTGCCCCTTGTCCTATTGCAACAGGCCCTGCTAAAATGTTTGTCCCCATCTTTCTCATAAGGCCCCTTTAAGTACTGGAAGGCTGCAAAAAGGTCCTCCTGGAGCCTTCTCCAGGCTGAACAACCCCGACTCTCTCAGCCTTTCCTCATAGGAGAGGTGCTCCAGCCCTCTGATCATTTTTGTGGCCTCCTCTGGACCCACTCCAACAGCTCCATGTCTTTCCTGTGCTGAGGGCTCCAGAGCTGGACGCAGGACTTGAGGTGGGGTCTCACCAGAGCAGAGTAGGGTGGCAGCATCACCTCTCTCGCCCTGCTGGCCACGCTGCTTTTGATGCAGCTCAGGATACAATTGGCTTTCTTGGCTGCGACGGCACGTTGCCAGCTCATGTCCAGCTTTTCATCCCCCAGTACCCCCAAGTCCTTCTCAGCAGGGCTGCTCTCAGTCCCTTCATCCCCCAGCCTGTATTGATAGCGGGGGTTGCCCCAGCCCAGGTGCAGGACCTTGCACTTGGCCTTGTTGATCCTCATGAGGTTCACACGGGCCCACTTCTTGAGCTTGTCCAGGTCCCTCTGGATTGCATCCTGTCCTTCTGGTGTGTCAACTGCACCACTCAGCTTGGTGTCATCTGTGAACTTGCTGAAGGTACACTCAATCCTGCTGTCTATGTGATTGATGAAGATACTAATTGAGAGCACTCGTCCCAATATGGACCCCTGAGGGACACCACTTGTCACTGATCTCCATCTGGACATTGAACCGTTGACCACTACCCTCTGGATGCAACCATCCAAACAATTCCTCATCCGTCAAACAGTCCACCCATCAAATCCATGTCTCTCCAATTTTGAGAGAAGGATGTTATGGGGGACCATGTCAAAGACTTTGAAGAAGTCCAGATAGATGACATCTGTAGCTCTTCCCTTGTCTACTCATATAGTCACTGCATCACAGAAGGCCACAAGGTTGGTCAGGCAGGACTTGCCCTTGGTGAAGCCATGCTGGCTGTCTCGAATCACCTCCCTGTCCT